CCAATAGAAGCACAGTCTCATTAAGGGATGTTTTGTACAACTGAATAGAAGCACAGTCACATGAAGGGGTGTTATGAACAACTTAATAGAGCACAGTCTGTGTAAGGGGTGTCTTGGACAACCCAAGAGAAGCAGTTCCCAGTAAAGGTGCCTAAGACAACTCAAGAGAAGCACAGTTTCTGAACACTGGTAGGAGTTGAAGAAGTCGCATTAAAGCTTGAGTTACAGTAGTTTTCTTAACATTCTGATCCCTCATATTGCACCACTATCATAAATGAAAAGATATTACAGTAATTATGGTAAGGAGTTGATTTGATCTTCAGTAGCTCAGTTTGTAGGAGTTATGGCAAAGAGTTGTTTTTTATTTAGCTTAAACTGAATGTTAACTTTTATATACAAACAACCACGGAAATAAGCTAAGAAAATAATACAGGACTGTTCAAAACAACATATGTTATTTAAAATTAAATCTAACCATGTATTATTTCCATTCCATTCAGTGCTTTGCTATTACATACTGTGATAATATTTTCACTCTAATTTAATTATACACTTTCAATACTTAAGAATGTAAATTTTCAGAATGTACTAACAAAAACTTGCCTGTAAAAATCCCAGATGAACATTAATATGCATGTTATTCAAAGGATGAACAATAATATTTGCATCATGGCCAAAATGATCCGATTCTTCATTGAAATGGACTCGATGCTGACCTACTGTACAAAAATTTTAAACAAGAGTAGTTCAAAAAGGGTGAATTTAACAATAGTCACCTCTACTGAGGCATGTTAAAAATGTTTTTAACTTATTATAAAAGCTTTTAATTCATATAGTAAAGTAGGTAAGTAAGGGAAGAAATATTGTTTTTCTTAACTAGTAATTCGGCTACCAAAAAATGCTGTCGTACTATTTCAGTGTGAGGTACAAAGCCAATAAAAGAATCAGCTTTACAAAAATAAATAAAAAGAGAGGTATTTGCAATTACATCATGATGAAGTACCATAAAGAAACTGCATAACTTACCACTATCTTGTTCCCTAAAATCATCTTCAACTTCCATGACACTTTTAGATAGACAACAAGGGTTACTGCAGAACAAAACAAGTTAATATTCAAGGAGTAATTCTTCTTCAAGAAGTCAAGAGTCCATAGTAAATGCCCTTTAAAATACTGTACCACAAATTATACATTCAAGCTCCAAAGAATTTCAGATACTATATATTTAGACACTGCACTTGGTTTACATGATCACCTATACGATATACATAAATGCAAAACCAAATATTTTATCTCCTTACAAACAGGGCTGCACCTGCCTCTTCCCAGTGAGGGTATGATTTTAGGATAGACAAAATATTTAGGGGTTGCATCTCTTTGGTACGCATACTGTAGTAGTTATGAAGTAAACCTGCTGTAACCATAAACACTTTTTGTTGGTTGCAGGAGCTCAAGCCCATTATAAGGAAGGTAGCATCAGCAAGTCCCTGTTCACAATAAACATTAAAATCCACTTATTTACAAGCCTACACTTTGCACTGTGTATAGGAGAACAGGCATACATCTTTAAATTCATTACTTCTTATCTAGAACCAAGTAATATGACTACTATTTCTTAAACATATTCTGAGGTAACTAAAATTTTGACACCTTTAACGAGTGTCATTAGTTTCATTCTGTTCCAATTTTCCTTATTACTTTAAATTATGCTGTTTTCAATAACTCTAATTGTATGGATAATAGTAAGAAGGGGGCTGTATATATACACACACACACACAGATGCATATATAGCTTTGTCTGTTGTATTAAAATTAGGCCAATAGCTTAAGTTACTGAAAATTCAATAACAAAGCTAGTAAGTTTATTTTCAAACAATAAAATACCAGTCTACAACACTTCAATACCATTACTTCAAACAGCATTCTTTATTTAGTTGTTTTTTTTATGATCTTTTTTTCAGTCATCATATGAAATGTTTATTCACTATTCAATTAAATTTTAATTAATATTTTTATCATGAATTCAAAATATTTATTATTCATGCTTTGGTTAATGTACTTCAATTACCTTTCAAAAAAAGATAGAAGAGGAATGCAATTAATTACAAGTTTCTACGAATTTACACCCATTTGGCACTGTAATATATACTTGTACTGATCAAAATACAAGTAAAATGCTCACCATGTATCATCTGCACATCCTATCAGTTCAATATTAACATATTAACCCATTAACTGTGGCAGGAGCAGCTCAGTTGCCATTTTCTGACTCACAGATAAAACTGAGTTGCCATCAATCACAATAAAATGGTAATTTTCGTCATTCACATAGTTATAGTTATATATGTGCGACTAACGGATATTTCAGTCATTCACAGCTGAGCCATAGAACTTCAATGATGGAAATATCCATCATCTGCAGTTAATGGGTCAATGACAGAAACATTTTTGAACACACACAATATCTGGAGACAAATATCATCTAACAGCAGATATAAAGATGGACATGTATATTACAAGCAGAAGACTAACAATAAAACTTTGTATCTTTCAGTTACTTTAATAATTGTTGACTGTATTTGTACTGTGATCTTGTAAGTGTTGGTCAGTTAGATAATTAGCTTTAAATATTTTTATCATTTTCTGTACAAGTATTTTGTAGCATAACTTTTGTTTATACTTAAAAGCAAATATGACTGAAATATATTGAATAATGTGTGAGATTGATAATGTATTAGTTGAGAATTTACAATGTGTTAGTTCATTCTTGAAATTATTTATGCAAGTGAAACTTTAATACCATAGTGCTTATTACAGTATGCTAAAGCTACATATCATTTAAGATCCATTTCTTTTGTTTACACAGGAAGAACCAGAAATTCATTCTATTATAGTGTTAAACTTAAGAATAAAGTTTCAAAAAATGACTTTTACTCTCCAGATAATAATAATAAAATTATTTTCGCTAAAATTTCACCATTTTCACTTATTCAGGACTAATATTATTATTATTTAGAGAAAAGGTAGTTTATTTTTGATTTTATTACCAAAATGTCTCTATCCCTCCAGTATGCACTATGAGTTCTGAAAAACAATTGAACTTGAGACGTTTTTTTTATGAAAGGTACTATATTTCAGTTGTGCCTATACAAAAAATAAATATTTGTAAATAAATTTATCAGTCATCAAATATTGAGTCCATACAAAAGCCTAGTAACAAAATACTGAAAATGCATGTTTCTCCTAATTATTGTCTGTCCAAAAATGTATATTTTAAATTATCTATCAACTTTTTTCAAATATTGTCAATAATATATCAGAAAGGTACACAATAGGGCCTATTTTTAATTTTTCCTGGTTCCAAATCACCTAGTTCCCAAAGCTTGAATAGTGATCTCAAATCCAATAATACTGTCTTTTAGAATGTTTGTCACAGAATTATCAAGCACACTTGGTCTTTTAAGAATAAATATCATCAAAAGACCTCCAACTATTTCAACACAAGATATTAAACTATTATGTACAATAATCTTGTCTGTACATATAGCTCAATTCTCAACACAAACAAAGTATCCAGATTGGTGTTTACATGAGATAATCAAGAGTAGATCTTTATACTTCCTTCAATCATAAATTTTCTCTGATAAAAAAAAAGTCCCTTGGTAACATTACTTGTACCTGTAAAACTGGTCAATAGGTGGTACTTTCCTCTCATACAAATTTGATAATATTCTATGTAATGGTATCCATAGTAGTATAAACACTTTGACCCACATATATATATATATATATTAAGTTCAAAGGTTCAAGCCTACTGAAATTATTGAAGTATTAAGAATGTTTTCAAGGACTCCCCACTGACTAGTACTTAACACTTACCTATGTAATGGTCAGTGACCCCAAAAGAATGCATGAAACTGCAAGGAAGAATCTCAACACATTTCTCATGATGCCTCAAATGAACAACACTTTTCTCAGTCTCCCTTTTAACCAGTTGTGCTGCATAATAAAACAACTTTATCATTAATAGTTTTTCATTGTGTAATTTATATCAAGTGTGACTTACTTCTCAAAAAAGAGAAATTTGACTATTCAATGTACACATGATTGTGACCATTTTGACCAAAGGGGTCACACATACACATGCTTGTATATTCATCATGCCTTGCTCTATTACTAATTTTATGTCAAAATTCTTGTAAACACTTTTTGATCCACAAGAAATCAAAGGAATTTTTAAAATTATTTTGGGAAATAAAACTAAAGAAAAACTACAAATACAGCCCAATATGACATCAAATGTTATTTCTGAACAGAGGAAAAAAAAAAAAATTAAGAAAATTGTTTCCATATTTTTTACTTTATACCAGTTTGAAGCTCTGATGAATTACCATTACTTTCAATAAGCACTCTTATATCAGAACCAATGTATTCCTGGTTCAGAAGTTAAGAAGAACGTGTACTACAGTCTTATCCACTTAATGATGTATAATATATTACGTTTCTAGTATTAATTTTGTTTTTTTTTCTGTAGAATTAGACTACCAAGTCCAAGATTATTTTCAATATTAACTATTCATGAGGACAGCTTGACCTGGTAACACAACAGCCATCTTGACAAAGGGGCAAACAATAATGGAGTACAGTTATGACTAAAAAGCTTCAAATGAAGCAGAGAAGTCTTCCTGTAGCAAACTGCATAACTAATGCCACTTAAATCCACAAAAACTAATGATATTCCATTTACAAATAACATATACATAGATAATATGAACTATCAAACTTTAACTTCACTTTTCTCTAAATCAACATTTTCATGGTCTTAACATGATAACTCTCTACAAGAATAAGAATTTATTGATAAAGCAATGACAACACTGACAGGACAAGTATGGCATAATATTCAAAATAATAATAATAATTTGTTTTAACAACTTCAGGTAGTGCTACATTGATAGAGGGTCAACACTTAGTTAAAGAGATTAGACTGGTGACCATGTACTAAATATATGTATACTGCCAGAATACTCCAGAATAAACAAAAATACAATGCCTTACTATGTAGCATAGTAGCTAAAAAGAAAAATGATTCTGAAAAGAACAGGAAAGACTGGTTGATATCGCTTCAACAACAGTTACAACATTAAGCCAATATCCAACTCAAAAATTGTACAGAATAGCACAGGCATCATTCATTGTATACGATGCCTTCACCCAGGTAAAAGAGTTCACCACAGACTCCAACAATATTATATTGTTGCTACTATAGCGTGAGGTCTCTCGCCATATGTCGCCTACCCAGGTCTATCAAACATGTTTAAAAATGTATCAAATTAAGTGTTTATCGCTAAAATAAATTTATGGAAATGTGTGAGGGATGGATAATGCAGCGGTAGACCTCACGCAATAGTAGCACCCTTATATCAATGCTTGCCAAATTTCTTTCACTGAGTTGATCTGAAATTTTCGACTTGTTATTGGTGCAATTGAATACACAACAACTTTTCACCATATTTGCAGGTTTGGAACAATAAAAGATCGTCACAAACACAAATAGTCATTACGATTATGAGTCTAGACAGCAAGCAAGTGTATGGATTGAATGAGATTTCCCCCTTCACTGCGTTTTTTGTTTGTCCCTTTGCCTCAGTTACCACGCAGACATTGCATCATAGGAGGGCAAAGTTCCCAGATGTCTGACCTCAAGAATTGGTGTTCATAAAGATTAGGTTAACCCTAAACTTCATATATTTTAGTATTTTCTAAAAAAGTAGTTTATATGGACATAAAGTATAATCTTTACATGCATATCATTTAGGCAGTGTCCTAATATAAATGATTTTAGATTATCGTATCTACTATATTTTAGAGTGAAATTTAATAAGTTTTGCAGTGGTCACATACTTTGAACTGGTCTTTCAGTTTCACAAGGTAAGTAATTTTAATTCTTGGTTTTTAAAAAAATTAATTACATAGCCTAGGGCACGCAATTTATACAGTAAGTTAGTAGTACTAGTAGTAACACAACCACATAAGAAATTCCAATAAATGACTAATTTACAGTTTTCCACACTGTTTGGGTAACAGTCATCAAAAAATACGGAGGCTTAGGCTGTTTTCATACATAATTATTCAATTTGTGAACTCTTCTCTCCTATGAAATATATATTTCTGGTTCGATCTAACATTTCTACATGGTAGATAATTTTTAATTTGGCCTAAACAGTTATTATTATTATTAACTAATTTTAACTTTAAGCCTATTCAGTCCTAATCATTGCTAGTGTGAATGTGATAGTGCTCAGAAATAAGGGATAGATTTATTAATTTTCAATGGCACTCGCAGTCACACAGCTGGATAACACTCATTAACAGTAAAATTCCTGACATGATACACACATTTCATGAAACTAACATACAGACCTCAGTGAATGGATTCCTGACTAATATTAATACGGAATTACTACTCAGTAATACTAATCAGAGAAGCTATGTAACGTTAGTTTACAAGCAATGCTTACTACAGCTTAGGCCTATATATGATTCATCATCTACATAATTATTGTTATCAGAAAAGAAACCCAAATAACCGAAGCGCTTCCGGAAATAGGACTTTACTTCAGTCTGAAAGCACTTGGGATATTTGAGTATCTTTACTGATGCTAACGTTTTTCTGCTGATCCTGCGTATTTGCAACATCACGAGCACATTATTCTTATCATATTAATTTGCCCTTCCCCAATCTCATATCCTTTATGTTCATAGTTCTTTTTTTTTTGCAATATAAAAAGTACTAAAACAACAACTTTTACATGCGGGTTTTAGGAAAAATAAAAAACAAGAATTTGAACAAAATGCTGTTCCAAACCTGCAGATATGGCGAAGAGTTGTTGTGTATACAATTGTACCATATCAGTTGTCGAAGATCTTCTGCTAGAATTCACATTAAAGTGTAATAGGTTTGTTTGTTTGTTTTGAATTTCGCACAAAACTACACGAGGGCTATCTGCGCTAGCCGTCCCTAATTTAGCAGTGTAAGACTAGAGGGAAGGCAGCTAGTCATCACCACCCACCGCCCACTCTTGGGCTATTCTTTTCCCAATGAATAGTGGAATTGACCGTCACTTATAACGCCCCCACGAATGAAAGGGCGAGCATGTTTAGTGGGACGGGGATAAGTGTAATAGAACTACTGAAAAAGCGTTATACAATCCAGCAAGGTCCTCTATCCACTCAGAGCGTGAAACAAATTTCAGATGAAATCGGTGGAAAAAAATTTGGCAAGCATTGATATAAGATTTTTGGAGTCTGTGCAGCACTTTTAAACCTGGGCGAATGCGTCGTATATAATGTGTTTAATGTTGTAACTGGGGTTGAAGGATATCATCCAAATTAATCTTTCCTCTTCTTTTCACAATCATTTTTCTTTTTTAGTTGCTATGCTACATAGTAAGACATTGTAGCATTCTGTCTGTATACATGTATTTAGTACGAGGTCACCATTCTAATCTCTTTAACTGGATGTTGACCCTCTGATAATGTAGCACTACCTAAGTTGTTGAAACAAATTATTATTATTATCTTGAACTTTACGCCATACTTGTCCTATCAGTGTTGTCATTGCCCTATCAATAAATAGAAAAAACTTTCATTTTGTTTCTTTTGTCTTGTTGCATCATTATTTTCATCACACCTACAGTGCCTCGCAAAATTTCCACATTTTGTTGCCACTGAGCTTGCAATCATAAATCTTTCAAATGGGACTTTACATTTAGAAATGTTACGTCTATGGTCGTTTGCTAATTTCCCCTATAATTTATTTCGGATGCAACTTTAGCGATACAAGTCCTTTCTTAAATAAAACTAGTTCATTCTTTCTCAATACAACTTTGCAATACACTTAATTTCCACAGCTGCTTCAACACACGCTATAATTCTCAACAAACGATTCATGCACTTCACTTACTACCGCGCTTGACTAAATTGTCCGTCTATATCTTCGATCTCTCTGTCCGCTACTCAATCCCGATTAATTGTCTGGTGCACTTATATACAAGAATAGAAGGCGCCTAGCAAATACTGAGTTCATTCTTTCTCAATACAACTTTGCAATACACTTAATTTCCACGGCTGCTTCAACACACGCTATAATTCTCAACAAACGATTCACGCACTTCACTTACTACCGCGCTTGACTAAATTGTCCGTCTATATCTTCGATCTCTCTGTCCGCTACTCAATCCCGATTAATTGTCTGGTGCACTTATATACAAGAATAGAAGGCGCCTAGCAAATACTGGATTATTCGTGATGTTCTCCGATCTTTCTAGAACTCATTACGTGTTACCAACGTCAAGTGACTTCCGCTGTCGTAACACTGTCCCTTCCTTAATATTTTTCGTCCCGAAAAATAGCCACTTACATTAAACCAATAGACATGACCAGGTGGTTATGGCACTCGACTCGCAATCTGTGGGTCGCGGGTTCGAATCCCCGTCACACCAAACATGCTCGCCCTTTCAGCCGTGGGGGCGTTATAATGTGACGATCAA